GTCCACATGCATGATTTGGTGAAGTATGATGAATTCACCATCAACTAGGGCGGTAAGATGCTCTTGCAGTTCTGCGATGTTGATAAAATTATGCTTTCTGGTAATTTGGGCCAAATAATATTCATATGTGAGGCTGAAAAGTGGCACCTATACCAAGTTGCTTAACATTTTTATGTTTATACAGATATTTGATCACTGGCCTCCATGTTGCAGTCTAAAATTACTTATCCTAGTACACACTTAATTGAACTCTGATCCACATTTTTGAGTTTTACCTTTTATTAAACTTTTTGTATATGATCTCTTAATTTTTCTATTAATCATATGCAATCTTTACAAGAAGTCATGTACTGCGAGTGTGTGTTGTTTTTGAGGTGATCCGGGTTCAGATTTATTGCAAGATCAATCATGCTTTTGTACGTTGAATTAGATTCTCAAATCTGTTTAGAGTCTCTAGAGACTGATCTTCAAATTCAGAAAATGTGTAATGTTCGATTTTCAACCTGTAGTTGAATTTAGCATTTTGGCGTATTAGCATTATCTTTCACTTGATGTGCAGTCTGAGAAGTCGAAGAACGCTGGAAATTCTTCACCACAACTCCTCTAGTTGAGTTTTTGAAGACTTTACATTTGGAATGCCTGGAAATAATTTTACTGGCAAACAACGAGCAGAATCCTTAGCTGTAAGAACCTTAATGGACTTTAATGAATTTCTCCTCTGCATCCTTAGTAAAGTTTGTGACTGGACGTATTAAACGGTCTGTGTTGCAATATGCCAGCACGAGTTTCCTCAGTCTGATTTTATCTATTTCTTTCATATAGAATGTTAAACTAGGAGGAGACTATCTTCTAGTTGCAACAGATATAGCAGCTAGTGGTGTTGACCTGCCAGATATGACTTATATATACAACTTTGATCTTCCAAAAGATGCAGTGAACTATCTTCGTCAAGCTGGAAGAACAGGTAGGAAGCCATTCTCAGATGGTAAATGTTTTGTTACCAGCATTATAACATCAGAAGAACGTTTTGTATTGCAGAGATTTGAAAATGAATTGATGTTTCATTGCGAGAGTTATTGTTGTAAATGAAAATTTTCTTTTACTCGGTTTGTACCATATTTAGTTATTTCGTTCTGTTTCACTTCCAGTTGTTTATATCTCCTCTATCATTGTTCTTAGCAGATCTAGATTTACCTGAAAAAGCTAATATAACTGAATTATGAACCTAATAATCAAGTTTGTTTGTTTGATTTTGGAATCGCATTAAATGTATGACCTGTATCAAAAATTCATGAATAACACGAATATTATTTCGAACTTCTGCACTGTCGGTGTCATTTATACAAAATTCTTGATTGACAATAGTTTGATGTTCATGCTATCCAGCTGAAGAGGGACAGAATTAAAATGTTATATAACAGTGCCATCTTTAATTGTTGAATTTTTCAATATTACTGTAACACCTGATCTGATGTAGAACTCCTCTGACGATCTGTCAGCTTCTTGTATGCCCTGAAAGTCATTTCACAGAATGAATTAACCAGTATCCGAGCTTTGAACAGAAAACTGATAAAGGCTCAATACCAATTTTTGTAAGATGATAAGCAGTAGTAATCCTAATAGTTTTAGCAACAAAACTAGTTTCTGATAACTGTCCTTGTTGAGACTATTATTTGGAGAAAAATACCTCTGAATTTGCGATGACAACATTTTTACCGATTCTTGCATTCTTGTCGATAATACATTCTCTGCATAATGTAGATGGAGTCAGGTGAAAAGATGAGAAAAGAGATTATTTCTAGAAGAGAGGCTGGAATGTACTTTATCCTTGTATTTTCTCCAATCCCTGTAGGAACCTTGCCCCCTGCTAAGAATAATGCTATTTCAGCATCAGTTTCATAGTAGTCAGCTCCAAGCATTAATGTGTCCTGCTCGTAAATGAGTATCCAGTGTAATAAGTATATTTAAGATTCAATAGAAATCCAGTGCACGATGGTTAGTTTTATTAACAATGGAGGTCAACTGCACTTGAATGATGACACTCTTTTTAAGTGAGCATTCAAGAATTCCATAGAACGGTAGGTTTTTCTTGAGCAAGAGCTGAGAAATTGTAAAAATCGTTCGAAATAGAAAATTAAATAAAAACAAACCTTTAGGTGAACGTTGGTGTTTATACGAGACCGGATACCAACAACGCTGTGTTCCACGAAGCAGTTAGTCAAGAAACTACCATGTGATACAATTGAATCCAAAATCTGCAAAAAGAATGTTCTTTGTTACACGGTGCATGAAGAAACTAGAAGTGAATCGAGATTTAATAACCTTGCTGTTATCAATCTTTGATGGTGGTAGGTTTCTTCTTGATGTGTAGATTGGCTTTGTTGCATCATAGAAACTGAATCTTGGTGGCTAAAATATCAAAACAAGTAAATAAAAGAAAATTGAACAAAGACAATTCTGTCTGTAAAGAATAATGAGCTATAAGCCACATGTAGTTGTGAGATGATTGAAATCACACTCGAGGTACAAGTATATAAGATGCTTACATGTTCAGTAAGGGCGAGGTTTGCTTCAAAAAATGATCGAATTGTACCGATGTCTTCCCAGTAATCATTGAATAGATAAGCCTGCAGAATTATGCAGATTTTAGAACAAATTTGCCATGGATACAAAGGTACAAGGGTTTAAGAGTTGAACAATATTAAAACAATCTACCTACATCTATGTTTAACAGACTCCTAAAAAATGTCTAAATAAGTTGATATAAAGTGTGCAGTTTTCGCATAGTGAGGATCTATATTAAATCGTGCTTTTTTGGGATTAAAAAATCTTGAATAACAAGCTATTATCTAGTATAAATGCCTGATAATGTAGGTGATAAGTGCAGTTTAAGGTAGGGCATTGGAACACTCATTCATGCATATAGAAGATGGCATCTTGAATTTATGAGAAAATTATTTATCTAAAAGACTGATAGAGGAATTGTTGACGAGACCTTAATGTAGAATTCTTTGGCTGAGGCAGGGATAATTTCTGACCCAAAATCATTTGCAGTTGGGAATCGCCATCTGAATCAACAAAAAACAAAGTGCACTTCAAATCTTCATGTTTGATATAGCTTAAAATTATGTTGGCTGTCATGGAAAAGTGAATTGCTTGATTTGTTGTTTTGCAAATTTTCAGATTTAGAGGTATATTCTGAAACTTCATGCTGCACTGTGCTTTTATATGCTACAAAATGGGAAGAGGTTGGGAGGCACAACCAATCTTGCCTTTCCACATGCAAGGACTATTTTGTTACCTTAGAAGATTCAAAAGTATTTCCTTCTTAAAGACATAAACTCCCATTGAAGCAATATAAGGTTTCTTTTCTGCTTCGTCTCTTGAAAGTCCCAAAACAGTTGTATCTACTGCCTGAAATATATATTAATAGCTGCTTTAGGAAATTCAACGGCACTGTCCAAGAAATTATCAGAATTTAGAACTTTGACAATTACCATTGCCTTCAAATCATCTCCTTTAGGCTTTTCACTGAATGAGAGGACTCTTCCTTTATTATCAATCTTCATCAAACCAAAATCTGAGGCACGGCTAAAACAGATAAATCATCTGAAAATGTTAATTTGTATGCCTGCAGAAAAACCCAAAAACTTTGATGCGGGATAAAGATTATATATCAATATTGAAAAAGTTATACACGAGGAACTTCAAATCCCAAATCATCTCCTTTAGGCTTTTCACTGAATGAGAGGACTCTTCCTTTATTATCAATCTTCATCAAACCAAAATCTGAGGCACGGCTAAAACAGATAAATCATCTGAAAATGTTAATTTGTATGCCTGCAGAAAAACCCAAAAACTTTGATGCGGGATAAAGATTATATATCAATATTGAAAAAGTTATACACGAGGAACTTCAAATCCCTTGCAAGGAACATAAAAAGTCCTACTCTGATGTTTGGTTATTGCTTATGGTCCTTATTTTCAACATCATGATGCCACCTTTTGATGTCGCCGATGTGGAAGTTATCTTGTAACTTCAAGCCACTTAAAATTGTCATATCTGTTTTTTTTCTCGTGACTTTTCTTAAACTCATGATTAATAATAATGTTACTTATTTTATTTTTGTTGGAGATTGAACCAATTATCAACCTGTCATCTATTGGTAAAGACGATAGAGTAATATCTGCACCACTTTGCCGATGATTCTGCAGAAAGAAGAACATTAATCTTATGCAATGCCATTAAAGTAAAGGAAAAAAGGGGGAAAAAAGAAAGAGAAAAAAGGAACAAGCTTCATCAAAATAGTGCACAGTGCAAGAGGTATTTAAGTTTTTTCTTACCTGAACAAATTCCATATAGTCCATCCTATACAAGTGATCTCCAGATAGAATGAGCACGTCTTCAATATCCTTGCTTCTCGGATCCTACGAGGCAGGGAATGGCATCATATGTAAGACCACAGCTTCATGATTTTAACATATTAATGGTTGAGTGATAGATTTAAGGAGTAGAACAAGGTGAGTTCCATTTTCAAGAAATGGTAATAGATTACAAAATTCAATCATCGAGATCTTAGTCAATCTCTTCTAGTTACGTAAAGAATTTATGGGAATTTTTTTCTGTATACAGGCGAAATACTTCGTTTCTTGTTGGTATATTTTCACTTAAGCCTGGACTGTTTTTTTCTCTTTGTTATGGAATTGATATTGTTAACAGATTAAATTGTTTGATGTGTAAACTGCTGAGTTTATAATAACTTTTTAAGCTATACTTGCAGTGGGAAGAATTAGGGCATTCCATTTGAGTTCCAGAGAAGTCTGAGCTATTGAGTTTATATACCTGTCTTCTGCAGTGTTTTAAAACTGATCTTCATCTCCTGATTACTTTTATGATGGATATTTTTCTTAAAAGTGTGCTGATTTTACTCCTGGACATCAAGATTTCCATCGTGAATATCCTTCCAAGCATGTTTCTTGAAGGTAGAATGTATTAGAGAAACTAGGATGTCGATGAATACCATTGATGCAAATTGAAGTCCAGGAGCAAACTATGCTCTTTTCTACACAATTTGGGAGCAAGCAATGAAATGGTTCTCAATGCATTTCATGTAATAGAACTAGAACTCAATACCTCAAAAAGCCAGTGGAACTGCCGCACAGCATCTGCAGTACCCTGAAACCATTTTTTACCGAACTCTCCTGAAGTTTGAGTGGCAGCTAAGACCTGTCGTTGGAAGCAATCAATTTGCAGGTGAACACAAGTTGATAAACAAAATTTACGTGCATTTCCCTTTGTATCAGTTTCCAGGGTAATAGTAATACTAACCAGGGCAGAAGTGTGAACTTGATGATTACCTCAACATAGCCATCTCCAAGTGTGACTCCACTTCCAAAGTTGTAAGCACGCGCAATATGCCTGTTGAGTGATGCTGAGTTGAATTGAGTGAGAATATAAACTTTGTTGATCCCACTGTTGATACAGTTGCTCATAGGTACATCGATCAGCCTATATGATCCTCCAATGGAAACCTGAAATATTAAGAATAGAATAAATCTTTGACTAAAGTAGAGGAATTGTTCAACTGGAACATTTGTTATGTCTGTTCACTGCAGGTATGAAGACTTACAGCAGGCTTGGCACGCTGCTTAGTCAAAGGAAACAAACGAGTGCCAGCTCCACCTCCTAGTATAACGGCTACAACGGTTCTCGCATCCCTTTTCTCCATCTCCAGGTCCCTCAACTGTACAGGGTAACAGAGTTCTTTAAGGTAACAATACATCTTGTATCCTTGTATAAATAAGAACAGTGAAAAATAACCTGGATTGTATATGAGTGGGTGGAATGGGGGACGGGGGCTGCCCTCTATTGTTTGAATTAGTTAGAACTCACCTTAGCCTCACCTGCAACATCTGCTGTAAGCGACATGCAGATTGGATTCTTATTACCATAGTGCTTAGTCCTCTGCTGAAATTGTGTTGACTTAAGCTTCTCCCCCATGAACTCTCCACTCCCAAACTTCACGAGCCTCCCGTTTCTTCTCGACAATCCGGCAATGCCATGCAATTGGCCGGCGGCTGACAGCGCTATTCGCCCGTCGGCGGTAACTGTCATCTTGTTGCAGAGAAGAGAATATAATG